TGCCCAGCCCAGAGCCAACGCAACCAGCGCCCGGCGCAGCATGAGGCGGGACGGGCGGCGGGGAAGGGCACGGCCCACACTCAAAATGGCTCACGGAGAGCACCGGGGCGGGGCACGTGGCACGATCTCCCGACAGCTCATTGGTCGTCGGTTTTAGAGGACGCTGATTGGCTTTTCTGAGCCGCTACGTTCTAAACGCTCGTGTGGCCCTAGAGAGAAAAAAGTGTAGAATTGCACAAATGCCGAGCTTCCGAGTTTCTATGGTTTTTCGAGTCGGTCAGAAAGCACGGGCCGTGGAAAGCAAGCAAACAGCCTATGAAAGCAGTAAGGATTTTAGCTGTTGCATATTTGTGCGTGCGTATGGGTGCAAAGGCAGGTGGAAGTGCTTGCCCCATTTCGGAAGCTAAGCAAGACAAGCAGCAGGATTAGTATTTGGATAGGAGACCAAAAGGAAATCACAGAGCTATTGGATAGACTGGAAAGTTACCAAAAAAATAATCCTGGAGCTTGGAAATGCTGCTGGATCCCTCTTTGGTCCTAGAGGGAAATAGTTTCTGTGGGATGAAACACTTTCCACCGGCTCCGTGGCGTGCCAGCAACAACATCGCTTGGGCAGAGACAGCCTCCAGGATGGTTATCCATGGCTTGGTAATCAACCATGTAGATTATTACAACATGTACTGCGTGGGATTGCCCTTGTGACCAATTTGGAAAGTTAGTATTCCAGGCAATAGTTCATGGAACTGGGCAATACAATTTTATTCCTTATTTTTTTTCTGTACATACATCACATCAGTCATCTCACGGCTCATTTCTAGTCCTAATTCAGGGTATCCTTAACCTATAAACCCCTTCACCGCTTAGGAGCCCAGTATCTGATGGAGCATCTCTTCCCATTGCTTCTTACCTGTACCCTAAAATCATCTATAGGGTACCTGCTCAGGTGTCCTCTAAGGCTGAGGCGGGGGGGTGATTCCCCAGGAGGGGGCCTTGTCATTAGTTGCCCCCAACTTTAGAAAGCCTTCTCCAGTGAGATACGCCGGGCTCCGTCTTTGTTATCTTTCTGATGCCAGGCAAAGATTTTTCTCTCCCACCTTTTAAGAATGCTGCTGTAATTTTTAACTTCCTCTTGCTGCATTTTCTTTTGTTACTGCTCTGCTATTTTATTCCTTACTTGATTCTGTGCATTTTATATTTTCATATCAAATATAAATGTATATCAAAATGATGTACTACACATTTCCTCGCCGCAGCTAAGGTTAATGCTACTCTTAATGTTTCACCTCTGAGAGTGGGTGCAAAAACTTCATCATATGATTGATCCTTTACTT